ACTCTTGGTTGGTTCGTTTTCAGAGTTTCTTGGTGCTAATTGTTTCTGGCCCGCCATCTTAGAAGGTTGTTGGTGATGAAAGTCTGCACTGGTGTGTTGGAAATGCTTTACTCGCACTACGTTTCTGATCCACCTGACTTCATACTGGTACTGAAAATCGAATTTTGTTCTTCCTCCTTAGTGTAGACTATTTCCAAAATGATTTTGGAGTGATGAACGTCCACCTCATCTGTTCTGTCTGTAGTTGGAACGGTAGTGCCTGCTTAAATCATTGGGCTACCAGAATTCCAATCCACCAAAATGCTTAAGCATTTCTACACTTCTTATTGTTTAATATTACATGACTATTACGTGAACTCGTGCGAATATTTGATTAGCTCCCCACTATACACTATGCAGTTTTTGAAGGAATTAAAGAAAAAAAATTAATATACAGAATCGGTTCTCTCTTCATGTGCAGAAACACTACGACAAATGATGTACTTCAGATTATTTTGAAACTAAATACGCTGAAAATTTCTGTAATATATGTTCACATATTGTCTGAAATGAAGCTTTATTATTATTATTATTGAGGGAAGTGACCTCCCTAAGATGTCTCCTGGTGACAGTGATCGGTGCCTTGAAGTTGTGTCTTCGCTACTTGCCTGTTCTGTCAACCTGTCGGTTTTCATCAGTAGGTCTTCGTGTTTATATAACATTAGACACAAATTCCGTGCAGTCCAACATACTCTTATCATTTTGATTGGACACTAGTAACTAGTGCGACGTGTCTAGTTCTTTGTCTACTGCAGACTGAATTCTATCAGTCAGGTTTGCAATGTGGCCACCATTCCAGGTAGCTCGCCATCACGGTGTACATTGATTTGATGATATTAGACGGGTTGTAGGCAATCAGCAGGAAGCCTTGGACCTAGGTTTCATGCTAGTTGGCACTCACTAGTCAGCAAGGTATATCTGCAATCTTGAAGGATGGTGGCCACATTTCAAACCTGACCGAACACTAGTTGCTAGTGTCCAATCAAAATATCCACTACAGTCTTACAGGGGGTGAATCGCGAACCCCAACAGCTCAGTGGTAACGTCTCTGACTGAAGGCGCCACTGGGTGACACGGGTTCGAATCTCAGGGGGTGAGACATGAGTTCCTTCAAGGTTTCAGATAGGCCTTGCTGACTGGTGAGTGCCAGCTACCCCTAGGTTCAAGGCTTCCTGTGACCGGTTGCCTCCAACTATCTTATATACTTTTATCATGCATAACACCTACCGCTATTATCCTACGCCTCTTATTATTGCCAAACTTCTTTTTCTAACTCCAAAATATTCTTGTAACCTTTTTTCGTATACTCCAACAAGCTTATCGATACCTGTAAATCTTAGTTTAGTCTTAGTTTATCAGTGTTACTAATGGTCACCATTTTCTATAATCTAGTTAATTCAAGTATGTGGGTATTTTGTTTACGGTTATCGAAACTTTTTCAAGCTATACGCAGTTGAAAATGACCAACAAAATAAAATAATACCACATATAATATCCGGTTTAGTCTGCTTTTCGTAGGTGTTTTTTTCAAATTGACTGAGTAAAACAAAATATACTAAGTTGACTGCCTCAGAAGTCTATCTCTCTGTCTGTATCAGTGATTCCATCTGTGATTTTGTTATTTTATAAAGATTAAATCTTTTATTGCAGAAAACGAAATTAATAGTCTATGGCTTAGTGATATGAGACTTACTTTGTATAAGGATATATTTACCTTGCTAGAATATATTATTGTCGTTAAATGGAAGAAGGCAATCGGCAAGAAGCCTTAGACACCTAATTCTCGTGTTTGTTAGCACTTGTCAGTCAGCAAGGCGCATTCTGATTCTTAAAAGAACTCATTTTTCTTCTGAGATTCAAACCTGTATCACCTATATAGCTGCAGTCAGAGCTGTTACCACTGAGGAGTTACTGAGACTCACGATTGACCTCCTTCCGTAGGACTGTAAGGGATGCGTGGATTGATGTTATGCGGACAAGTACCAGCAAGCACAAAAGACTGCTCTAAGGCTTCCTGGCTACTGTCTCCAATGAAGCAAAGCAGCTAGCATGACCGCCTCATTGAAAACTTGATTGATAGAATCCAGTCTAAAAGAAATGAAATAGTCGACGCATGATATTAGTTACCACCTTGTGTCCAATCAAAAAGCATGTAAGCATTAGTATTGTATTACTATACTGTACCAAATAAAGGAAAGGTCACACAGTTTGTTTCCAAGTATCTTAGTTTTAAGTCATGTTAGTGGACTTTTCGCGCTTCAAGTGGAAAACAGGGCTTTAAGCTTGAATTTTCACGTTTCAGTAGCTGTAGTGCTTTTTTATAGGGTAAGATTGTTAGCGTCTAGCCCAACTTTCCCTCTTTATCGGTTTTGCTATCGGCTAAACCAGGTCAAAGAGTGAGTTGGCCGGTGATCGAACCCCTGACCATGTGCGTAATCGATGAGTATTGTACCACTAAACTATCTACCTACTTTATGTTATGCTGATGACTGTTAATTATCAGAGTGAATGAACGAATATAAGTTCCCTCAATCTATCTTTCTTTTATGTATCTCTGTGATTTACATTTTCTCTCTCAGTCGTCAGAGCTACCTATTGTCCTATTAGTCATCCGGCACACACACAGTCATCTGAGATATTTTTTTATTTTTTTCCTTTACGTTCCCAATCGAACATAGTGCTTCAAACCAGAGGCTTGAAGTTTCAGTAGCAGTGGTGTTTACTTTTACTCGATAGGGTTACTAGCCTCATACCCACCCTTCCCTCTTCACTGGTCTTATTACTGGCTTATCGGGGTAAAGGAATGAGATCGAACCTCGGACAACATACGTGTTTGCCGAGCATTCTGCCTCTGTGCCATCGACGCATCATCTAAGACTTAGGATGATAGGACTTCCAGGTATAGTAATTTCTTTTCACTAGAATGGTGTCAATAAAAACTATCCGCCAAGACTGTAGACATACTTAAAATGTACCCACTTCAGTTTCAATCAGCATACTATGTATATTTTACAGGTAAATTTCCTTGATTTGCTGCATTTTATTTGACACAGCAACAGATTCTGATCCTAACACAACTATACTTCAAATACTAAAATAGCTGTCAAATATTAAACGGTATGGAATTCTCCAGGACGATATTTGCAGTACACCTCCAAGCTACTAAAGCTGGTATCTGAAGATAACATCACCTACTGGAAGACGATATCCCCTATATCCAAATACACACCATCAGACCTCAGAATTGCTTATATGATGACAACAATAGACACCAATAATTCTACGGACGTGTCTGTGACTAAACACACACACAAATGCCACTTATTCCTAGACTTCTTTTCATAGACGTAAAGGTAGATAGTGGCCAACAGAGTGTTGTAAACCCGAAATTCGGCCATCAGAGTAAATCTGCAAAGGATCCGGGTTTAGCTTAGACTATCGTATCCTGCCGGCACTCATACCATAGCTCAGATGTTAAAATTTTCAAGCAGTCCTAATGGTTCGCTAATGAGGATGAATGGGTTTTACACTTGTAGTGTTACTTAATACCAGGAGGGAAAGAACACACCATACATATAAACACTAATCCACAACTGATAAGTTACGATTTAAGTAACCTGTATGTTATAGCACTCTAAGACGATATCGTCTGTATAGTAGAGGTAGAAAAGTACTTCTCAAGGCAACAGAAGTACGAATCCTGTGGAATACGTACGCCTGTGTTCTAACAACTCCTAAAGGGTAAATACCTTGATCAGTTTTCGAACAGTTTATAATTTGTCATTTGAGCAATAATAGATTAGTTAACATCAGTTTAGCGATATAATCACGCTGAATGGAATAACAATCAACTAAACAGTTTAGACTGCAATTAAATCAGTGACTAATTACTTAGATAGAGGTAAATTTAGATTATTTTCTCTGGCATATTTGCAATAATCAAATTAGTAAATTTTATCTTGTTAACATTATGGTAAGAATTAGTCTAGAGCCATTGACATGCATCTAATTGAACAATAAATATCTGTTCACTGGTTAATCTGTTCTCTAAATAAAACAGTATTGGTTTTGCAGGGATTTCGTTCCGACTGATTGGCTGGAGGATTCCATCATGCGCTGACATCAGTTAGACAACCAGTGGAAAACCTCCAGGGAGTACTGGACAGCTGTTTCGTCCTAGCTCTGTGACAGGGACTGTTCAGTATTGCACACCCAGCGTGGTTCGAACCCATGGCCTTCTGGTTACAAGGCTAGTGGGCTCGTAAACCATTACGCCACTGAGACCCGATTCAATGGCCAATTCACGACATAGCTCGACCATTTCACAATGTCTTCTTCGATGAGTTACTGCTGTTTTTTATATATATCGCTTCTTAATTAGTGGACGAAATGTGTTATCCAGTTCCCTGACTTAAGTAAACCCGAACAGGTGGATAATTACCCCGATATTTCATACTGCTAATCCTCTTGGAACTGATGTGCCAGCTTGTTTTCATTTTCAAATCATCATTATTTTATTTATTCCCAAAAATGCTATTAGCAACTTGTAGCAGTGATGCAAATTGACTTAAACTGAGGGAAGTAGAGGTTTCAAGGCATTATCATAAGAGACAAAAATAATCTCACTGGGCCTAACTTTCTGACTCTTGTCATCTGAAATATTGACTAATCTTTCTTTTTGATTATAGCTTGATCCCACACTGTATTTTTGGTACAAGTATGGAATTTTCAGCATGTGATATCGGCAGACCAAATTTTGCAGGCCGACCATTGATATGGGATGTGCGTCGGCAGGGGACTGTATGTTCGGCGAGAATCCTAACCGCTGTGCCACCGACGCACTGTATATCGTATTCAATGCTGAATCTTTTTATTCACATCTTTAAGAATGTTTTAAAACTACTCTTCACTTCAATTATCTCCACTTTTTTTGTCTAATCTCTTTCTTTTTACAGAAAATAATGAATAAGATTTCTGCAATATGCATGTCTCTTTTTGTAATTGGTCTACTGACAACAAGAACACTAGTAATATGTGATGAAGTAAGTCTATGTATTAGAAGTTACTTTCATAATAATTTATAATTGGAAACAGAAAGATTCTTTTTGATTGTTTTTTTTTCCTGCGTGTAACTTTCATCGAAGAAACACAAATAGGTATTCAAGTGGTGATAAGTAGCGATTTGATTGATTGCAAGTTGCATTTCATCTGTTAGGGTCCACCGAATCAGATGTGGGGTTAGATACTTGATAACAATATCGGCTGGGATTGGCACCAAATGGCAGAATTCCTGGACTATTGGATTCCATTCTAGTGGCTAAAAGTTAAGCACGTTCGCTGATAACCTGAAAGTCTAGGGTTCGACTTCCTGTGTCTCTGGCAAGTACCAAACTAAGACGGAACAGCTGTCCGGTGAGCCTGGCTTTCAATGATCCTGTAATTTGTGTCGCTTGGTGGTAACAATAATAATCACTTTCAAGTGTTGGTTTGTAGGGATTTGATTGGTTACAAGATTTTCATCATGAGCTGACATTAGTTAGAGAACCATTGGAAAACCTGCAGGGAGTACTGGACAGCGGTTTCGTCCTAGTTTGAGACTCTTCACAGCTCAGCTCATGATGAAAATCCTATAACCATTCAATCAAATCCCTACAAACCAACACTTGAATATCAATGAGATGCTCACTAGCGACTTGCCCTATCCAGGTGGGTAGTCACCTGGGGTTCTAGTGAGAAGTCGTGACCAGTAGGGTGCAGCAGTTCGAGTGTGAGGACAAATACTCGCCGAAGACATTGGCTAGGGGTTGCGCTATGTTGTGAATTGGCAGAAGTTAGAATTCATGGGCCATTGGATCGGGTCCCTGTGGTTTAATGTAATCAGAAGGTCCTGGGTTCGAATCCCAGTGGGTGCGTACTGCTGAAGAGTCCCAAACTAGGACGATGGGAACAGCTGTCCAGTACTCCCTGAAGGTTTTCCAATGGTTCTCTAACTGATGTCAGCTCATGATGGAATTCTCCAACCAATCAAACAAAATCCCTACAAAACCAATACTTGAAAATTGTAAATAGCTACTATCATAGATAATACTTCTAATAATAATAATAATAATAATCTTTGTTTATACTTAGCAGTTCAGTTACTGATTTAAAAAGTTTGTAAGTTCTTTTTCTACATGATGAAATTCAGTTAATTAGATAAAGTAAATTAGTATGAATCTACCTACTTCAGACAGTTTTATTAGAAGGTATTGAGATTATTTAATTCAGCGAAGAGGCTCTTCTCGGCGAATTTGTTTTCTTCTTTGTCTGTACAGTCACATTTTTACACAATCTTTCTTCTAAGAGGGTAGTAACGAAAGTGATTAGTTGTCACAAACATAACTGTTAATTTTAGTCGATACATAAGAGGAGTTGAGTAACTGCATTAGAGCTGTTTAATAAAATGAATAATTTAACCAGTGAGTTGTTATCAGGATGCACATAGAAACGAAGGGAAATACGGAGTTATGTAAGAGTCGTAAAGAAGAAATACAAGAGCTACAAGGGGTTAGGAAAACACAAATAGAAATCGACTGGTTTTGAGGATTTCATCATGAGCTGACATCAGTTAGAGAACCATTGAGAAACCCGCAGGGAGTACTGGACAGCTGTTTCGTCCCAGCTCGGTGTGACTCTTCAGAAGTTTGCACCCACGCTGCTGGGTTCGAACTCAGAGCCATCTAGTTACAAGGCTAGTGAGCTCGTAGACCATTAAGCCACTGGGACCTGGTCCAACCAATCAAACAAAAAATCTCTCAGATAACCAATACTTGAAAACAGAAATCGAGTCACTAGAAATGCATAAGATATTAGAAGTGGTTGAATAATTTTCTTTTATCTTCATAATTCTGATTTTTCAAATTAAATGGCTAAGGCTGTAATTCTCTTAAAAGAAACACTGTGTATAAATGCGATTGTACGACTAGTAAAAATGAATTCGCCAAAAATAAGCCTCTTCGCTGAACTACTTGTTTTGTTTTCATCAATGTCTGGATGGAGATTATTCAGGAATTATTTAATTCCTCAGCGTAAGCACGCTATCTTCTCTAAATCAATGAATATTCGTCAAAACGATTGATAACTGGTTTGTGATTAAAAGTATGTTAAATAATTGAAGTGTTGCAGTAGATATCTGGTTGAAATGTTACCTCTGTTGGCAAACAGTCCCGACAAGTGACTGTTAGAGCTTCAGATACATGAAGTATAAATTAGGTTTACTTTCTGTATGATCATACCTGTAAGTCTGTCAGAAAGATATAGGTAAACAAGGGTCAAGTGCGTCGGTGGCACAGCGGTTAGGACGCTCGCCGACCATGCACACGGTCCGGGGTTCGATCCCCGGCCACAGGACGCACTCCTTTACCTCACTCTAAGCCAGTAATAATAGCTGGTAAAGAGTATAGGTTGAGCATGAGGCTAGCAATCCCATCCTGTAAAAACAAACATTGCTACAGAAACTTCAAGTCTCTAGCTTGAAGCCCTATGTTCCACTGGGAACGTGAAGGAATAAGAAAACAAAGGTCAAAATAAAGTAAATAAATGCATATTTATATGTATATTATCCCAGGGTGATTTACACTCAGTATTTGATTATGACCATCAAGTCTAAGATCCATCCTTCCATTTCATTTGAAAAACCAGAAGTGATAGTTAAAGGTGGGCTACCAATTTGAAAGGTGATCGATAATTTTTCAGGAATAGTCAATAGAAGATTCAATACCTCATTACGCAGAACCTAACCTACAGTTGGTTCCTGTTTACTATACAACACGCTTTTTGGTGAAGTCAAAGAACGATAGATACCCTTCTTATGATAGGTTGAATTGTGTATACAAATTTACATGTATCTGTGGTAGTCGTTATCTCGGAAAAATATAAAGAAGGGTACATCCTCGTTTTTTTTCTGAACATGAACCAAAACGTTTTCAATAATGTCATTACCAGGCATCTTGCTGAAACGTGTCATTGGCTTGTACCCTGAAATTATTTTTTAAAATTACCAGAAGACAATATAGTTCAGCTTTCCTCAAGTTTACCGGAGCGACTGCTATCAGACGCTTGAAAACAGATTTATGTGTTCTAAAAAGAAGTAGTTATCAATCCTGCTTTGTCTTACTGACTCCACCTGCAAGAATGAAATCATCGAAAAGTGTTTTTTCTCTCCAAAATGCTTGTTTATATCTGAAGTATTACAGTCCTGAATTTATTTCTGGCTATAATGAATGGCCCCCTTGTGTTTACATGACATGTGAAAAGATTAGTGAAGAAAGACCGAAATAGGCAATATACCAAAAAACTTATAATAGTAACTTTCAAGTGTTGGTCTTCATGGATTCAATTCATATCAAGATTGATCACAAACTGACATCAGTTAGAATACCGCTGAAAATCAGGGAGTACTGCACATATGTTTTGTCCTTGTTTGGAACTCCTCAGAGTTGCACACCCTTAACCCAATCAGAAATCGAACCAAAAACCTTTAAGTTATGAGGCGAAAATCTTGACCATTTGGTCACTGAGACGCAACCCAATGACCTACCAATTCCAACTTCTGCCAATTCAAAATATATAATGTCACTGCAGAGTACATGTCTTCTCACCCGACTTTTTGGGCACCACTGGCCATGACTTCTTGCAAAAACTCTAGTCACTCCATCCTGTTAGCATTAGAATAATCAGACGTTTGATCAAAATTGTGGTAAAGCTGCTGGCACAGCCGTTAGAACTCTCGCCGACCATGCACATGGTGTGGGGTTCGATCCCTCACCGACGCACACCTGCTATCAATGGTCGGTCTACTAATTTTGGGCTACCAATATCACATGCTAAAAATTCCATACCTGTACCAAAAATACAGTGTGGAATCAAGCTATAATCAAAAACATTTTTTTAAAAATTGTGGATCGAGCTGAAAAGGACAGCAGAAAGTAGAACAAGGTGGAGATGTGTTGTTGAAGCCCTATATTGCACTTGGAACCCAAGGGATCCATAATAATTATCGATAATTAAGTAATTCTGAAAAAGGAGTAAGAAGTTGAAAACCAAAGAATAGATAAATAATTGAAATTATGCATTCTTTGCATTCATGCAAAGGTCACTTTTAAAATGAGTAAGGTTTTTGATAGCTAGTTTAGTTGGCTACTCAAAATCACGTTGATATTGTTGAAAGTTCAGGCTAGTTCTTCTTATATCCCTACACTAATTATCGGGTTAAGAACAAATGAGAGCTGTCCCCTAGGATACAGCAGCTTGTCTCTTGATTTTAGAAGATTGCAGCACAATCTACTAATGATAGGTATTCATTTAGAACATGAAGATGTTTTTATGATTTCTTAGACAAATTAACAATGACGACAGTCCAAAGGTCTATGTAATCCGATGTCACAGGAGTCCAGCTTCATATAAAGTGATCTTTGAATAGCATAATTCAAGCCTCGTCCCAGCTCAACATCAAAAAAAAGTTAAACCTAAGGCTATCTTCAAGTTCATGAATAACGGTTTTCTTTATCTATAACAGACATTATTACCTCGAAAATATAATCTAATTCTATAAATGTGAGTTCCAGATTCACTGACCAGTTCGTGTTTTTAAATAATCTATCTCACTTCTACTTCTTTCACTTATGATCAAAAGAAATGTAATTTATTTTCGGCGAGGATTCTCCATGGAAGATTTAACTCTTTCTCCATGACATCATGACAGTATATGCACTGGATTTCGGATAGCAATCGACTGAATTAGATTTCAATATATAGCGAAAATATTCATTCAGACATCTATAAAACATAAAATAATTGAGCACAGAATATCCTTTTCGATAATTTCCTCTTCTGGCTCTACAATTATATATAAATACATGTTTACATGCATAGAGTATTCTAGAATAGTAGTCAATAACAATATTGATGTTTTTTAAATAGTATAGATTTGTAAAGTAAGATCAATGGAATTACAGTTCATTAGAGACTCTTAAATTAAAATAATAATAAAGATATAATAGCA